ATGCCTTGTGTAGATGATAATGTTTGCATAAGCAAAACTGTAGCATGTATGCATCTATTTGCATGTGCATATATTTAGAAAGATGCATGTGTGTATATCAGAAAGGTTAATAATGCTTTGTGTTTTGTTGTGTTATACCCATTTCAGGGACACATACTGAACATGTACAGCTCAGCCCATATGTAAAGTAGAAAAAATACTAGGGGAATATAACTAAGCACTGCATTTTACTATAGTTTTCATGTAGTTGTACTTTAGCTGAGTATTTCCATATTGTGCTTCTTTATCATTCAGGACATTTCTGAGGGAAACATTATGTTTACTACACTACATTTATCGAACACCTATAGTGACCATTTACTTTGAATACTAAGATTTTGCTGTACTGCACATACAATACAGATGATGAGTTTATATAACATGATACACCATTGCGCATTAAACTATGCATTAGTAATCTGAATACATAATATAATATATAAACTTTCTATATATTATGAACGTGAAATGTTGGATAAAGTAAGGACAGTTGGCTGATAATACAAAGTATTGTACTCATAATTTAACGGAATTATGAATGTAAGACAAATACTGGTAGTTGAGTTTTTTAAACAGTGGTACTACTTTAGTAAAGAATACAAATACCTATTCCATCACTGCGTACTTCAAATGAAAACAAATCTATTGATTCATTTGTTTTCATTTGGACAAACCAACATTACACAACTCTGACTTTTAGACTATTGGTGTGTCTAGTGTGACTCATTATGCTGCCAATATTTTTTCTACCAGGAGATCAATGAGTAAACTCTTCTCTCCTAACAGTGGAACTTCCTACCATCAAGCAAAGAAACCCTAAAAACATAAAGTGAAACAATTTGTGCTGTATGGTTGTGTTTTAAAAAAAATGAAAGGTGTGACATTGCAGCCCAGTCGAGTTTTTAACCCACAGGATTAAACCTTGATAAGGAATAGGTCATTCTGCCAAAAGGACAATTTAGAAAAGTTAATATTTGCTGACATAGTAACAGCGGTCTAAAACAAGTAGGCCACCCATAGTTTTCTTGGTTACTGAGATATTACATA